GCGTGGTGGCTCAAGCCTGTAATCCCAGCACTTTGGGAGGCCGAGGCGGGTGGATCACGAGGTCGAGAGATCGAGACCATCCTGGTCAACATGGTGAAACCCCGTCTCTACTAAAAGTGCAAAAAATTAGCTGGTCATGGTGGCACGTGCCTGTAATCCCAGCTACTCAGGAGGCTGAGGCAGGAGAATTGCCTGAGCCCAGGAGGCGGAGGTTGCGGTGAGCCGAGATCATGCCATTGCACTCCAGCCTGGGTAACAAGGGCGAAACTCCGTCTCAAAAAAAAAAAAAAAAAAAAAAAAAAGCCAAAAGAGTTTTTTTGGCAGCAACTAAATATCTCATACAATGTGTGATACCTTATTTCAAATTCAAATCTAGACACAAACTTATATCCAGAAATGACCAGAAGCTAAGAACTTAAAGGCAGAAAGTGCCTGGAATACTTACCTAAGCTCAGAAGAATTCCCAGCACCATAATAGATATTTTAAAAGGTAATCTGTTCAAAGAGTGAACTTGGCCTGTGATACAGTTATTGCTGAATTGTTCTGGCTGTTATGTTTACCCAACAAAGTTCTCATAGCAAAGTGTTGATTTTCAGTGTTCTGATGTTTAACTCAATTTTCCATTTAAAAAGAAGCCCATCTGGGTTTCTTTAAAGACAAGACAGTATCTTTGGTCTATCTGAGTGCAGATTAGAGTGTCATTGTTTGACTTTAATTCTTGGAGCCATCTTAGCACAACTCAGTTAAGGAGGACAACTTGACAGAGTTCACTGGGCTGTGGGAGGAGAAGAAATGACAGGGAATGGGCAGTGCAGAGACTCTGGGGGCATAGGTGGGATCTGCCACACAAGGGTTTGGACTCCAGGTGCTTTGTTGCATCTTACTAGCCAGGTGACCTTGGGCAAGCTACATCATCTAGTTGAACTGTACTTTCCTTGTCTGTAAAATGGGTCTACAAGGCGGGTCGTGGTGGCTCACACCTATAATCCCAGCAGTTTGGGAGGCTGAGGCAAGCGGATCATGAGGTCAAGAGATCAGGACCATCCTGGCCAACATGGTGAAATCCCATCTTTACTAAAAATACAAAAATTAGCTGGATGTGGTGGCACACACTGTAGTCCCGGCTACTCGGGTGGCTGAGGGAGGAGAATTGCATGAACCCGGGAAGTGGAGGTTGTAGTGAGCTGAGATCGCACCAATGTGCTTCAGTTTGGTGACAGAGGGAGATTCCGACTCGGAAAAATAAAAAAAAATAAAAAAAATGGGTCTATGAATGTATCTGCCTCACAAGGCTAGTGTGAGCATTGAGATACTGGCATTAATGTAGTATCTCCCCTCTACCAGTGAAACCTTACATAGTTAAGTCCTCTTCGATAACTTCACATTGGTCCTGCAGTATTCAGCACTGCAAGGTGATATAATGTCTTGGTTTGAAGACTGAAATGCCTTGTCACAGTATTTATTTTCCCCCAAATATTTCAGTGTCACTACAAATGCACAACCAAAGACTAGCCTCACCTAAAATCTCACAGAGACACTGTTTTAAGTAGGCAAAGTGTACATTAACTTGGGAATCTCACTTCCTAGGTTCACGCCACGACTTGCAAAGGCCTTTTGTGGCTGTGTCAAATGTACAAAGACAGTGACCTATACCCTTCATAAGCCAGTAAGAGTTAGGTTGGACAAAAGAGAATTTCAAAGTCAAATTTAACATTGAAGAATTATATAGCTGAACGTGGTGGCTCATCCCTGTAATCCCAGCACTTTGGGAGGCAGAGGCAGGCGGATCACAAGGTCCAGAGTTTGAGACCAGCCTGGCCAGCATGGTGAAACCCCATCTCTACTTAAAAATCAGTGGGGTGTGGTGGTGGGCGCCTATAATCCCAGCTACTTGGGAGGCTGAGGAGGCAGTGCGGTCTCTCAAAAAAAAAAAAAAAGGATTATGTAGTCATTGAGTGTTAGCAAAGTTCTAACCTTGTCTTTCCTGGAAGGATACTGAAAGGATCTGCTGGGTTCTCCCTCCAGGAAAAGGACAGAGCAGGACCTACAAATTAATTCATATCACCGCTCTCAGATTCTATCCCTGGTAATTGTGATAAGGCCTTTTATGCCTTTAGTCACTTGTCTTCACATTACTTCTCTGAGGTTGGTGCTGCCATTGCTGCTAGAATGCAGGCTTCGGGGGACAGAGACACTGCCTGACCTGTTCTTTTTGTGTGTGTACATTTTAAAGACTGATATATCACAGTTGTATGACTTAGTTTCTTTTTCTTTTTGATGTTAATTTTATTTTATTATTATTATTATTATTTTTTTTTTTTTTGAGACGGAGTTTCGCTCTTGTTACCCAGGCTGGAGTGCAATGGCGCGATCTCGGCTCACCGCAACCTCTGCCTCCTGGGTTCAGGCAATTCTCCTGCCTCAGCCTCCTGAGTAGCTGGGATTACAGGCACACGCCACCATGCCCAGCTAATTTTTTGTATTTTTAGTAGAGACGGGGTTTCACCAAGTTGACCAGGATGGCCTCGATCTCTCGACCTCGTGATCCACCCGCCTCGGCCTCCCAAAGTGCTGGGATTACAAGCTTGAGCCACCGTGCCCGGCCTTATTTTATTATTATTATTTTGAGACAGAGTCTCACTCTGTCGCCCAGGCTGCAGTGCAGTGGCCTGATCTTGGCTCACTGCAACCTCTGCCTCCCAGATTCAAGTGATTCTCCTGCCTCGGCCTCCGAGTAGCTGGGACTACAGTGTGTGCCACCACATCCAGCTAATTTTTGTATTTTTAGTAGAGACGGGTTTCACCATGTTGACCAGGGTAGTTTCAAACTCCTGACCTCAAGTGATTTGCCTGCCTTCGCCTCCCAAAGTGTTGGGATTACAGGTGTGAGACACTGTGTCCAGCCATTATTTTCTTTTTTTTTTTTGAGACGGAGTTTCGCTCTTGTTACCCAGGCTGGAGTGCAATGGCGCGATCTCGGCTCACCGCAACCTCCACCTCCTGGGTTCAAGCAATTCTCCTGCCTCAGCCTCCTGAGTAGCTGGGATTACAGGCACGCGCCACCATGCCCAGCTAATTTTTTGTATTTTTAGTAGAGACGGGGTTTCACCGTGTTGACCAGGATGGTCTCGATCTCTCGACCTCGTGATCCACCCGCCTCGGCCTCCCAAATTGCTGGGATTACAGGCTTGAGCCACCGCGCCCGGCCTATTTTCTTTTTAATCATAGGGAAGTTTTTGGTTTTTTTTTTTGTTGTTTGAGACAACGTCTTGCTCTGTTACCCAGGCTGGAGTGCGGTGGTGCAATCATGGCTCACTGCAGCCTGGAACTCCCTGACTCAAGGAGTCCTCCTGCCTCGGCTTCCTGAGTAGCTGGGACCACAGGCATGTACCACCACATCTAGGTGATTTTTAAATTTTTTGTAGAAACAGAGTCTCACTGTGTCACCCAGGCTGGTCTTGAATTCTTGGGCTCGAGTAATCCTCCTGCCTCAGCCTCCCAAAGTGCTGGGGTTATAGGCATGAGCCACTGTATTGGCTGACTTACTTTTTTATTTTTTATTTTTGACCTGTCAGCAGGAAGTAACTGACTTACTTTTATTACAGAATGTAATACAGTTTGCTGGCACATAATAGGTATTCATTACATATTTGTTTAATACAAAAACCCCGTTTTACAGTTTTAAAAAAACTGTAATATAGGCTGGGCATGGTGGCTCACACCTGTAATCCCAGCACTTTGGGAGGCTGAGGTGGGCAGATCACATGAGGCCAGGAGTTCAAGACCAGCCTGGCCAACATGGAAACCCTGTCTCTACTAAAAAATAAATAAATAAATATATATATATATATATATATATATATATATATATATATATATGAATTAGGCTGGGCACAGTGGCTCATGCCTGAAATCCCAGCACTTTGGGAGGCTGAAGCGGGGGATCACCTGAGGTCAGGAGTTTGAGACCAACCTGGCCAACATGATAAAACCCCATGTCTACTAAAAATACAAAAAATTAGCTGAGCATGGTGGCTAGCACCTGTAATCCCAGCTACTCAGGAGGCTGAGGCAGGAGAATTGCTTGAACTCAGGAGGCAGAGGTTTCAGTGAGCCAAGATCACACCATTGAACTCCAGCCTGGGCAACAAGAGCAAAACTTGTTCTCAAAAAAAAAAAAAAGCATACATATGTTTGTGTGTGTGTGTGTGTGTGTATTTATCTATCTATATATGTGTGTATATGTGTATATAGGCCGGGTATAGCGGTATGCACATATAATCCTAGCTGCTAGGAACTGCTTGAACCTGGGAGGCAAAGGTTATAGTGAACCAAGATCTTGCCACTGCACTCCAGCCTGGGTGACAGAGCAAGAATCCATCTTAAAAAAAACAAGCAGGCCGGGCACAGTGGCTCAAGCCTGTAATCCCAGCACTTTGGGAGGCAGAGGCAGGTGGATCACGAGGTCAAGAGATCGAGACCATCCTGGTCAACATGGTGAAACCCCGTCTCTACTAAAAATACAAATAATTAGCTGGGCATGGTGGCGCGTGCCTGTAATCCCAGCCACTCGGGAGACTGAGGCAGGAGAATTGCCTGAACCCGGGAGGCGGAGGTTGCGGTGAGCTGAGACCGCGCCATTGCACTCCAGCCTGTGTAACAAGAGCAAAACTCCGTCTCAAAAAAAAAAAAAAAAAGCAAAACAAACAAACAAAAAGCTGCAGTATAGCGTGGTTAGATCTCAGCCAGTATCCCTGGAGCCCACTCAGGGGAGGAGGCCTGCTGTATGACTGCTCTATAAGTAGCCTATCCTCAGCTGTGTGTTCTTATCTCTGAGTCCAGAGCCACTGGATCAAGTTCCCCAGAGAGCAAACCTCTAACTTCTGTCCAGGCTGGGAGAAAAGCAGTCACCCAGCTGCATAGGGCTAGTGAGGAATCTTGGGGCCTAACTTCCTGTACATATCGGTGGTTGGATGGATGGATTTTCTAACTGCTTGTTTTTTATACATACTCTTTTATACATGCTCTTCATTTTCAGTCTCTTCAGGATCTCTGTAGAAGTAGAGATCAGGCATGACCTCCCACGGGTGTTCACGGGAAATGATGCCACGCATGCGCAAAACCTCCCGAGCCAGCATCCACCACATCAAACCCACCGAGTGAGCTCCCTTGTTGTTGCATGGGATGGCAATGTCCACATAGCGCAGAGGAGAATCTGTGTTACACAGAGCAATGGTAGGTAGGTTAACATAAGACGCCTCCGTGAGAGGCTGGTGGTCAGCCCTGGGGTCAGTAACCACCAGCAGCCGTGGCTCCCGGAAGGCTGCCTGGATCTGGTTGGTGAAGGTTCCAGGAGTAAAGCGGCCAGCAATTGGAGTGGCTCCTGTGGCAGCAGCAAACTTCAGCACGGCCCTCTGGCCAGTATTCCTGGAGGATATGACACTGACATCAGCAGGGTTTTCAATGGCAACAATGGCACGAGCTGCCAAAAGCAGCTTCTCCCGGGTCCTCTTCAGATTTATGATGTAGATGCCATCACTTTTCCTTTTGTAGATATACTGTTCCATCTGGAAGTCAAGGTTGGTGCCACCTAAATGGGTTCCTGCTGCCAGGAACTTAAGGACATCCTCCTCTTTCATTTGCAGGACATCAAGGGCTCCGGACATTGTGAAAGTTTCCCTTTAAGTTACGACGGGAATCGTGAACAACGCCGTTTGGAGCCCTCAGCGGGTAGCGCGGAAAGGCTTTTGTGTATATTTTTAGTAGAGATGGAGTTTTGCTATGCTGGCCAGGCTGGTCTTGAACTCCCGACCTCAAGTTATCCGGCCACCTCGGCTTCCCAAAGTGCTGAGGTTACAGGCCTGAGCCACCACATCCAATCTATTATATGATTTTAATTAGTAATCTTGTGTACATCCCCTGTACGCACCACACTGTCTGAGTTTCCCGTTATCTGTACTTCCTGAGCCTTTCAGGGGTCTTGCTCCTTGAAATCAGCCCGCTTTGTTTTCTACTTTCTCTGATCCAGGTCTGGGGCCAATTGTCCATCTGCCTTATAGCTTTCACTTTGTCCTGGTGGGTTTTGCCTTTTCAATTTCTTTACTGTCATTTTAATGAGGTTTCAGAAGAGAATCTTAGAAAATATATTTACTTATAAAAGTACGCTTCATCAAAAATCCCTTCCTTAATTTCTTCTTTCTTTTTTTGAGACAGAATCTCACTCTGTCGCCCAGCCTGGAGTACAGTGGTGCAATCTCAGCTCACTGCAACCTCTGCCTCCTGGGTTCACGTGATTCTCCTGCCTCAGCTTCCAAACTATCTGGGACTACAGGCGTGTGCCATCACACTCTGCTAATTTTTGTAGTTTTTAATAGAGATGGGGTTTCACTATATGTTGACCAGGCTGGTCTTGTCTTCACATTACTTCTCCTGAGTTCATATGATCCACCCACCTTGGCCTCCAAAAGTGCTGGGATTATGGGCATGAGCCACCACACCTGGCCTATTATTTCGTTTTTTAAAGATGATTTTTTTTCTGGTTTCAAAAATTAATACATGCTTATTTAAAAAAAATAATATGTATAAATCAATGTGTATTTTTTTTAAATAGAATTTTTTATATATGGAACGCTTCACGAATTTGTGTGTCATTCTTGCACAGGGGCCATGCTAATCTTCTCTGTATCATTCCAATTTTAGTATATGTGCTGCCGAAGCAAGCACCAATGTGTATTTTAAATAAACTCCAAAGCCTACCTCCCCAGATATGACCACAATTCCGTTTGTTGTGTAAGTCTTCACATTTTTCATGCATATGTAAAAACAATACAATTTGATTTATTTATTTATTGACATAGGGTCTTGCTTTGTTGCCGGGGTTGGACTGCAGTGGCATGCTCACGGCTCACTGCAGCCTCTTCCTCCTGGGCTTAAGTGATCCTCCCACCTCAGTCTCTTGAGTAGCTGGGAACCCAGGATGTTGCCATCACATCTGGTTCATTACTTTTTGTAGAGATGAGTTCTCACTATGTTGCCCACACTGGTCTAGAACTCCTGACCTCAGGTGATCCACCCACCTCTACCTCTCAAAGTGCTGGGATTACAGGCATGAGCCACTGTGCCTGGCCTGACACTTCACTTTTATGAGCCCATCTACCTTTTGAAACCGGAAGCATGGGCCTCAGAAGAGGATGAGAACCAACATTAAAAAAAATTTTTTTTTTTAAATAAAAGACAGGTTTTCACCATGTTGGCCAGGATGCTCTCGAACTCCTGACCTCACGTGATCCACTTACCTTGGCCTCTGAAATTGCTGGGATTACAGGCGTGAACCACCATGCCCATCTGAGAACCAACATTTTAAAATAACTTTTAAAAAGCCTGAAACTTCCCTATATACTTTGCATATGTTATACCCAAAATAATCCTGCAAAGTTGGTATTATTATTATTTTATTAATGTTTAGAGTCAAGGTCTCATTCTGTTGTGCAGGCTGGAGTGCAGTGGCATGATCATAGCTCACAGCAGCCTCAAACACCTGGGCTCATGCGATCCTCTGCCTTCAACTTTCTGAGCAACTAGGACTTCAGGAAGCCACCACTAAGCCTGGCTAATTTTAAGAAACTTTTTGTAGAGATGAAGTCTCACAATGTTGCCCAGGCTGGTCCCAAACTCCTGGCCTCAAGCAATCCTTCTACCTCAGTCTCTCAAAGTGTTGAGATTGTAGGCATGATTCACTGTAACTGGCCTAAAGTCAGTATTATTAATTCCATTATATGGAGGAGGAAAGGAAAGAAGGGGAGATGAAGTTGATCAAATTAGTAATCTCTAGCCAGTCCTCAATAGATTTAGCACTGGGCAGTGTTCAAGTTGGATTTAAGAAGAGGCAGAGCTGAGTGCGGTGGCTCACGCCTATAATCCCAGCACTTTGGGAGGCCAAGGTGGACAGATCACAAGGTCAAGAGTTCAAGACCAGCCTGATCAACATGTTGAAACCTCATCTCTACTAAAAATAATAAAATTAGCTCGTCACAATGTAAAAACTGTCAAAAAAAAAAAAAAAATTAGCTGGGCGTAGTGGCACGTGGCTGTAATCTCAGCTACTCAGGAGGCTAAGGCAGGAGAATCGCTTGAACCTGGGAGGGGGAGGTGGCGGTAAGCTGAGATTGCACCACTGCACTCCAGCCTGGGTAACAGAGCAGAACTCTGTCTCAAAAAAAAAAAAAAAAAAAAAAAAAAAAAAAAAAGAAGAAGAAGAAGAAGATGCAGAGTGAGGCTGGGCACGCGGTGGCTCATGCCTGTAATCCCAGCCCTTTGGGAGGCCAAAGAGGGTGGATCATGCGGTCAGGAGTTTGAGACCATCCTGGCCAGCATGCTGTAACCCCATTTCTACTAAAAATGCAAAAATTAGCCGTGCATAGTGGCGCATACCTGTAATCCCAGCTACTCGGGAGGCTGAGGCAGGAGAATCGCTTGACCCCAGGAGGCAGAGGTTGCAGTGAGCCGAGATTGCACCACGGCACTCCAGCCTGGGTGACAGAGAGAGACTCTGTCTCAAAAAAAAAGAGGCAGAGTGGTATCAGTATCACCAGTCTGCCCCACATGGGTAAGGGAGAGATTTTTCTGGCAAGACTGAAGACATTCTGATACTCTCCTTTCTCTAACATACACTAACTCAGGTGTCAGAGTAATTTAGGCATAAGAGTCAGTGAAAACACTTTCTCAAGACACTGTCTAGCTGTCTCAGGATCTTGTCCTGCTCAGGCTTGAGCACAAGTAGAACACAATCCTTGCTGGCTGGGCCCTGTTCTGGAATGACTGAGCTGTCCAGCATGGCCAGTGTGTAAATGTCAAGTAAACACCAAATTCAAGTGCAATTTAACTATTGTGCTGGGACTGTTTGTTTTAGATATAATAGCAGGAAAGGAGAAGGAGAGGGAGGGGAGAAGTACATATCACTTCACAAGGCAAAACATGAGTATCACGAGCCCTCCCTTGGCCAACTTGAATTTTGAGAGACCAATATCAAATAAATAAAAAGCCTGCACTCCATGCTGCAAAAATAAGCATGTCCACTTGCTTAAAAAAAAGATTTTTTGGATGAGGGAACATTTTCCAGTCAATCACCCTGCAGCAAAGGCATCCTGTTGAATTTGTGACTCACAGGCTCTCTGTCAATAGACGGAGTCAGCCCAACGTTATGACTTCACTGGGAGATGAAGCAAAAGCTGGGAGATGAGGCAGGACCAGCTTTAAAACAAGGCTCTAAGCAGCTCAGACAACAAATACTAAAAGAAACACTGACTACTCACAGGCTGGGTAATTGCATTTGTTGCTTCTTTTTCTTTATTTCTTTTATTTTTATTTTTTTGTTGTTTTTCATTTTTTATTTCTTTTTAGAGATGGGGTTTCACCATGTTGTCCAGAATGGTCTTGAACTCCTGACCTCAGCTGATCCACCCGCCTCGGCCTCCCAAAGTGCTGGAATTACAGGTGTGAGCCACCATGCCCAGCCCTTCTTTTTCTTTATTTCTTTATTTTTTATTTTTATTATTATTTTTAGAGACAGGGTCTTGCTATGTTGCCCAGGCTGGAGTGCAGTGGCTATTCACAGGCGCGATCCCACTACGGATCAGCGTGGGAGTATTCACCTGCTCTGTTTCCAACCTGGGCCAGTTCACCCCTCCTTAGGCAACCTGGTGGTCCCCCGCTCCCTAGAGATCACCATATTGATGTCGAACTTAGTGCAGACAGCTGATTGGCATAGCACACTGAATAGCTGGGACACTATAGGCACATGCCACTGCACCTGGCCTTTTTCTTTATTTCTTGCTTGTCTCCTAGAAAAGAACCAATCTGACTTTGGCTTCATCCTTTCGTTGCCATTAACACTGATGGAGGACACAGTTATTGTCAGGGCTATGACTTTGCCTGGTGCCCCATATACATTGTTATCTCATTCTGTTCTCATGGCAATTCTATAAGGTAGGTGGTATTTGTATTATTAAATTAATTAATTAATTAATTATTTTGAGATGGAGTCTCCATCTATTGCCCAGGTTGGAGTGCTATGGTGCAATTTTGGCTCACCGCCTCTGCCTCCCGGGTTCAAGCAATTCTCCCTACCTCAGCCTCCCGAGTAGCTGGGATTACAGGTGCCCACTACCACACCTGGCTAATTTTTGTATTTTTTAGTAGAGATGGGGTTTCACCCTGTTGGTCAGGCTGGTGTTGAACTCCTGACCTTGTGATCCACCCGCTTTGGCCTTCCAAAGCACTGGGATTGCAGGTGTGAGCCACTGTGCCCGGCCTATTTATTTTAAGAGGCAGGATCTTGCTTTGTTGCCCAGGCTGGAGCAAAGTGGGCACAATCATTGCTCATTGTAACCTCAAACTCTTGGGACTCAAGCAGTCCCCCCACCTCAGCCTCCCAAGTAGCTGGGACTACAGTCACGTGCCACCATGCCTGGCTAATTTTTCAATTTTTTCTTTTTTTTTTAAGGCAGAGACTCGCTCTGTTGCCCAGGCTGGAGTACAGCGGTGAGATCTTAGCTCACTGCAACCTCTGCCTCCTGGGTTCAAAAGATTCTCTTCTCTCAGCCTCCTGAGTAGCTGGGACTACAGGCACCTGCCGCCACAACTGGCTAATTTTTGTATTTTTAACAGAGACGAAGTTTCACCATATTGGCCAGGCTGGTCTGGAACTCCTGACCTTGTGATCCGCCTGTATCGTCATCCCAAAGT